AGATGGACTGGCATTCGTAACTTTTAGCTATGGTGGCTCTCAACCATCTACCGATGGTTGTCGATGACACCTTTTGTCCTAAAGTGTCCCGCTGTTTAAAATGGCACTTGCGGCTTCACTCCAAAGAAATGATCCAAAGGCAATTGCAAGGAAATTCCTGTTTAATGACTAGCCTGCTTATCCAATCTCAGCCAGACAAGGGAGAGCTAAACCCAGGGAGAACGAAGTGGGAAGGTACTGCCCCGGTCCCCAAAAAGGGAAACCAGCGGGGAATGGCGCCTGTGATATCTAGGCGCGAACTTGAGCCAGCCGTTGAAAAAGGCAGGAAGCCAGAATCTCCGCTGCTAATGTCTGAGAAGTCTAATGAGCCGCTGCTGCTGAGGCTCTAACTTGCGAGTTAAATGCTCCTGTCAGACGAAACGGCAAGGCGAAGTGAGCCACGGCTGCGAGCGCTCCGCTACGATCGCATAGAAGACGATCGGAAAGTTAGATAAGGTAATTGCCTGAGGCGGTCGCCTCAGGCTGCCCACGGAGTGGCGGGCTCCGCTAGTTACTAAGAAACTGTTTTTAAACTGATCGAGGCAACCTAATAGAGGCACAAGCCTGAAAAAAAGCCAAATTAAATGGGGAAGATTTTTACAAGCTGAAATAACCCAAGAGCAAACCTGAATCAGAAAACCGTTCCAGTCAGGGAGTGCACAACCTCTTACCACGAAGGCTGAGCTAAAACTGGGGGACGCTGAGGAGGTGTCCCATGGAGGAGGAGGAGGAGCATCCTGGAGTTTTAAGCCCAGCCTTTCCAGAAGAGACTGAAGCACCTCCCACTTCTGGATGCTCTGAACAGCTCATGGGAGAATGGGGCTATTCCATCAAAGTGACAAAGCAAAATCAGTACTACAGCTAGTCCTCGACTTATAGCAATGTCAATAGCACTTAGACATATACGGCTCCACAGTGCTTTCCAGCCCTCTCTAATCGGTTTACAGAGTCAGCCTTTTCCCCCCAACAATTTGGGTCCTCATTTTACTGACCTCGGAAGGACGGAAGGCTGAGTCAACCTGGAGCCTGGTGGGATTCAATCTGCCAAATTGCAGTAGGAGCAGCTTGCACTCTAACCACTACTCCACCGAGGCTCCTTTATGACCACAATGGGCCCAAAATTTCCATTGCTAAATACGATGGTTAACTGAATTTTGCCTCATTTCACTACCTGACCTTGCCACAGTTGTTAAGTGAATCTCTGCAGTTGTTAAGTTAGCCACCCGGTTGTTAAGCGAATCTGGTTTCTCCATTGACTTTGATTGACAATAGGTCACAAAAGGGGATCACACGACCTGCAGACCTTGCAACCGTCATAAATAGGAGTCAGTTAACAAGAGTCTGAATTTTAATCATAAGGCTGCTGCAGCAGTTGTAAGTGTGGAAAAATAGTCACAATTTGCTTTTTTTCAGCATTGTTGCAACTTCGCATGGTCACTAAATGAATGATTGTAAGTTGAGGACTACCCCAACTTGCAACCTATCTCAGATGAAACCCCAATTTAAATGACTGCAGAAGGTCAGTTTCATCCAGTTTTACTTGAACCTACAATGTAATATTTGAGACCAGACTACAGTATAATTATAAAGTTGTTCTCAATGAAGGCAGGGATTTTTCCCCCCTAAAAATGAAGGGAAGAACATAAGGGAGTTCAACTTCTTGATTTTTTTCTTTTAAATTATTGCCATTGCTTTTAATAAATTTACTTTGAGAAGGATTGAAGCTGGATTCCATCCTAATGCTTTAGGCTAAGATTCACCATGAAGTAGCTCCCATCTTTTTCCCATTACGCTAAAAATTAAATTACTGTATAGTATCCGGAATAGTAACCATGGAAGAATAAATTGATGCAAAACAAGAGACATCATTTATTTTGCGTTGTTTTGCATTGGTTTTTTTTTTTAATTTCCCTCCTTTTCCCCTTCTCATCATACGTCCTTCCCATTTCTTTTAGCTAGGTTGATCTTCATAACATTTGTCTTATTAGGGTTTCGTAGAGTTCTATCTTTTAATATTATAAGTCATGCAGGGTTACCGTGTGGCAAAAAAAGGCGGCTAATAAATGTTACAAATAAAATAATAAAATAAATAATAAGTTAACATTTTGTGATAGACTTGGTGATTTTTTTCCAGGTTCCCCCCCCCCCCCAAGGACCATCAGGGAATAGATTTCATAGAATAACAGAGTTGGAAGGGACCTTGAAGGTCATCTAGTCCAACCCCCTGCTTGAGCAGGAAAGTCTATTCCAAATATTAGCCTCTATTTAGGATCGAACTCACAGCCTCCCGATTGTGAGGCGAGAGCAACCTCCTACTTAACCAGGAAACCATTTCAGACAAATAGTTGTCTAATCTCTTCTTAAAATCCTCCAGTGTTGGAGCACCCACAGCTTCTGAAGGCAAGTCATTTCACTGATTAATTGTTCTGTAAAGAAATTTCTCCTTAGTTCTAGGTTGCTTCTCTCCTTGATTAATTTCCATCCATTGCTTCTTGTCCTGCCCTCAGGTGCTTTGGAGAATAGCTTGACTCCCTCTTCTTCATGGCAACCTTTTAGATATTGGAACACTGCTATCATGTCATCATTAGTAGAATAGAATAGAATAGAATAGAATAGAATAGAATAGAATAGAATAGAATAACAGAGTTGGAAGCAACCTTGGAGGCAGGGGTGGGATTCAAATTTTTTAACAAGTGGTTCTGTGGGCGTGGCTTAGGTGGTGGGCATGGCTTGGTGGTCATGTGACTGGCTGGGCATGGTCCACTCAACATCACTCAAACCGAGGCACGCATCTCCTTGCCTGGCTTCTCATGACTGTGGAGATGCTGCAACAGTCGTAAGTGTGAAAAACGGTCATAGTTACTTTTTTTTTAGTGCCATTGTAACTTTGAATGGTCACTCCACACAAGCAAAGTACCAGAAAAGGAGGGGAAAAAACTCCAGAGAAGTTCCTGAGACAGGAAGTCTAGTCCTGCCAAGAATGTAAAAAGGGTTAATGGAGAGGCAGTTTCTGTAAGCAACACCAGAATGTTTCCTTCCTGCCTTCCTTACAGGATTAGGCCAATAATTTCTTCTAACAACCGGTTATCTGAACTGCTTAGAATGTTAAAAACCGGTTCTAGCAAATAGGTGCGAACCTGTAGAATGCCACCCCTGCTTGGAGGTCTTCTAGTCCGACCCATGCTTAGGCAGAAAACCCTAGACCAGAGCTGTTAAACTCAAGGCCTGGGAGCCAGATTCAGCCCACGGGGTACTTAGATCTGGACTTTGGGGCCACCCTGGAAACAGTGAAGGACTGACCCGTGGTGCCTCTGCCAGTGAAAATGGAGCTCCGTTTTTGCTGGCAGAGGATTACAGGAGGCCGTTATAGCTGAAAACGGAGCTTGAGAGCCCGTTTTTGCTGGCAGGGCACTTGGGCCACTGCAGGTTCCCCTGACATGAATGACATCGACCTAGTCACACCCAACCTAGCCAGGGTGGCCCTCAATGAAATCGGGTTTGACACCCCTGCCCTCGGCCAGGGATCGGCAACATTCAAAGAGCCACAAAGGTCCTAACTGGAAACCCCCCATTCAATTCTGGAGCCGACCAGACTCTATGGCAGTTCTCCCACCATAGAATCTCCTCCTAGCACTGCGTCCTTTTTCCTCTACCTGTCCTAACCAAAAGCCCTATCAATTGTGGAGCTGACCAGCAACAGAGAGCTGCAGTAGAGGGATGAAAGAGCCACACGCGGCTCCAGAGCTGCAGGTTGCTGACTCCTGCCCTAGAACCATTGCAGACAAACAGTTGTCCAATCTCTTCTTAAAAACTTCCAGTGTCGGAACATTCACAACTTCTGGAGGCAAGTTGTTCCCCTGATTAATTTTTCTAACTCATCCTTCTTTTCATTAAATTAGACATACCCAGTTCCAGCAACTGTTCTCTATAAGTTTTAGGGAGGAAGGGTGTGCACTTCCTTTTACAAATGCTGTAGGGAACATTTAATATACATTAAAAAAAGATCCTACAGTTCTTTTAAAAAGTTCAAAAGTGTCTGCCACGTTTACAGCATGGAGAAGAATATTGGGTCAAAGAGGAGACTAGGAGAGGTCATGTCATAATAACTGTGCAAGGAAGTCCTTATCTATGTGGGAAAATGTCTGAACACAGTGGGGATAAGCTGGGGTCAGTTTACTATTTCTGTTGGATGGATACCTTCACAGGAACTCGAAACAAAGCTAGCATAGAAATTTTTGAGACTGATCTGGGAACAGCTAGACTCCTATGACAAAATGTGCGGTGAGATGCCAGCGAATTGATAGCTTCTCCACAAACACAGAAGGCAGCCAATGAGAGAAACCCAAAGGCTCAAAATCCAAGTGTTGCGGCCTGTTGGCTGCTGGCCCCTCCAGCAGCCAAATCAAATGAGTAGGAGGCATGGGAGTCAGGGTCAGCCTCAGGGCAACCTGAGAGCTCCAAGGGGGAAGAGGGAATGGAGCTGGCAGAGAGAGGCAGAGGCAGAGGCAGAGCCTGGGCCATCCGTCAGCCCTCAGATGGAGAGTCAAGAGCCCCCAGGTCTGGAGGTGGCTGATGAGGAAGAGGAGGAACAGCTGGGTCCAGTGCCTGATGCACGGGTATGCAGAAGACAGAGGAGAGGAGAGCAGTGGAAATCTATGGGCCGGTCCTTGGAATGGAAGAGCCACTGCTGCTAGTGAGGCCCCTCTCTGGATAAAAGGCAGGGGGCAGAGATGAATAGATATGGCAGACAACTATTCATCTTCCAGCTGGATGGACTTATTAGTCTGCGAGAGAAACTTTTTGTTGGAGCTGCCGGTGCTACAAATAAAGGAATCTTTTGGGTTCACGTCAGAATGTTTGTCGTGTTTGGGGAGTTGGGTCAGAACACCAAATTCCAGAGCATCTCGTTCCAACCACAAGATTTATGCAGGCATCCCCAGCTCACTTCTGCTCACTTGTCTAGATCATTGGATTTGGTCTCGTAGCTTTTCAGGACCCGTAGAACTTGTACATCTTGGCTCAGGAAGCACGGTGGAAGAAGACCGTGTATTCCCAGCTGGAGCCTCTCTTGAAGGGTGAAGGCCATACCCTAAGAGAGAAGAGAGGATGGGTGTGTTAAAACAACAGAACAGAACCACTCTCTTAAAAGGAAAAAAAAAAGTATTAACGGTAGTCCTTAACTCGCGACCAAAACTGAATGCAAAATTTATGTTAAGTTGTTCAGTTAGTTTTTGCCTCATTTTATGACCTTTTTTGCCACGGTGGTTAAGTGAATCACTGCAGTTGTTAAGTCAGTAACACGGTTGTTAAGTGAATCTGGCTCCTCCATTGACTTGGTTTGTCAGAATGTCGCAAAAGGGGATCGCATGACCCTGGGACACTGCAATTGTCATAAATATGAACCAGTTCCAAGCTGTTCTGACCAAGGCTTCCTGAGGCACCAACAAACACACATAAAATCCAAAACCCTTTTATTTTAGTTCAATGGCTGTGAATGATTGTCATTCACAGCCTGGAATGAGTCTTAACCAGTTATAATTAGTCCCAGGGACGTCTGTCAAAGTCCTTCGGGAGAAGTCTGATAAGAACGCACCTTTATCTGACTTGAAGTGCTGCCAACGACTAAAGTCCCAATTAGTCTTTCAAAACCAAACAGAGAACAAATTCACCACAGAGCTTTCAGATTCCAAAACAATCAGAGTGAAAAACATTGCTTCCTGCAAAGGTTTCTCTACCTTTGCACTTCCTTTATACCTTATGGGCAGGGCAATCACCTCCAAGCCTTACTCCCGAGTTGCCCCTTTTGTCTCTTTACTCTCGCCTTCTAGCAGCTCTGTGCACACGCACACTGGGAACAGGCTCCCCTGGGTCCTCTGCCTTGCTGCTGCCAGACTCCGGAGGCTCTGGAGTCAGCACATAACTCCCAGATGGTCCTGGCCCCATCTCTGTATCGGACGCAGGTCCATCATCCAAATCCTCTCCAGACTCCCAGACTGGTCCTGCCGGCGAACCACAACACAAGCATCCGAATGTTGATCGTATGACCAACGGAGATGCTGCAATGGTCACGCGATAAATCACCTTTTTCAGTGCCGTTGTAACTTCGAACAGTCACTAAATGAATCTTTGTAAGCCGAGGACTAGCTGTATTAGCTTTCTAAATTGGTAAACTTTCGCAAAGAAAGACATGTTGCAAAGAGCAGTAGCGCAATTGATCTCACCTTCCAAGTTCACTTTGAACTTGCAGTTGTGCAGAAGATCAATTTTAAAGCAAAGCAGCTGAACACAGAGCAACAATGATGTTCTGTAGTTACTGTTCACTAATTTACAGTCTAAGAAGATGTGATTTAAGCAACCCAGCAACTTGGTGTAGCAAACATACAGCGCAGAATGTAGGAGCATTAGCAGGATGGTATCTTCTATTGATTAGTCCCAGGACTCCCTGTTGAAAACTCCCAGTAAAACCCACTGCTGCTTCTACAATAAATTTAGATTGTTAAAAAGCAATCTGGCGATTGAGCCTAAGCGAGTGCAATTTTAAATGCCTTTAATCCATAATTGTGCTCCCTGTGGCAGTCAATGTGTTTTTCAGATTTAAGTGAATCTTGCCAAGCGATCACTTTGTCCATTATTTATTTCACTTAGTTTATTTATTTGTATCCTGCCTTTATTATTTTGACAACTAACTCAAGGTGATGGACATATCCAATACGCCTTCCTCCTCCTATTTTCCACACAACAACCCTGCAGGGTGTATTGGACTGAGGGAGAAGAAGTCACCTAACTGGCTTTCATGTCTAACGCGGGACTAGAACTCACCGTCTCCTGGTGATTGGCCCAAAGTCACCTAGCTCCCTTTCATGGCTAAGGCGGGATTAAAACTTACATCTCCTGGCCAAAAGTCACCCAGCTGGCTTTGATGGCTAAGGTGAGACTTGAACTCACGGTTTCCTGCTTTCTAGCCTGGTGCCTTAAACACTAAGCCAAACTGCTCTTTTTCTCTTTCCAACAATACAAAGTGTTTTAGCATCTGGAAATGCTAAAATTTTAAGTCCCATTCACAGATTCATTCTCTATCTATTGCTCTCATCTTTGATTAAAAAGCCTAAGAGTGCCATCACTCAACAGATGATTGTGAGTAAGTTATGATGGTGAAGGGAATTGTGCAGTAAATCTGGGAATGAAGATGTGGAAATGGGATTTGGAATATGCATAGCTACCCCACCTCACATCAATTGGCATACCTTGACACCAAATGTGTCCATTTCGTGCACTACGCAATTGTGTAAGCCTGGGAAAAGCTATAATTTCTGTAAGACGATGCCAACATACACTCCAAAGCATATTTTATTCTTGGAATTTGGATTGCAGCACAGCTCCGGGGGGTAATAAAATTAGAAACGAGATAAAACTGAGGAAAATGTATATATATTGTGCTTCTATATTAATAGCAAAGTTTTTTTTTTTAAAAAAAAAGACATTGAAAATATTTCCAAGGAACAGAAAGGAAAGCCAAGGCTGAATAAAAAAATATTTTTGTCCAACTCGCCCCAATATATCTCCACATGCTATTTAAGATAGCTGAATTTGTTTGCTGTTATGTGGGAGCCATGAGTCACCCATCCTCCCTTGGAGACTTTCAAAATGGGATGTTTTACATAATGCGTGCATTTTGGTTTTTTTTTATTCTCCCCGTTGCAATAACTTAAATGAAAACAACATTATTTTTGACAGGACCGTCTCTAATCCGCTCTATTTAGTCATTGCAATGGCTCCGAGAAAGATTTGGTATCACTGAAATCTGCCAGGAAAGCAATTTCCTTCTTCCAATGACCAGGAAATGCAAAAAGTTACTGAAGATGGTAGAGTTTTTGCCAAATGTAAGCAAAAGGTGAGCCAGGAACCCCACAGTACAGTCATCAATATTCATTTGCTTCAGCGATATGCAGGATTTGATAAGTCAGTCAAACAGCTCTGGGCAAGGAACGTCTGCAGGATTTCTGGAATTCTCTCCAGCTCCTTAACACAGGTAAATCCTCGACTTACGACCCCAACTAAGGTAAAAAAAATTCCTTTGCAAAGCAAGGCGTTTGTTAAATGAGTTTTACGACCTTTTTGTCACAGTTGTTAAGCGAATCATTGCAGTTGAACATGAATCATGCAGTCATTAAGTGAATCTGGATTCCTCCCATCATCAGAAACAAGCTATCAAGGTTACAAATAGTGATCACTGGATCCCAGGACAGTGCAATGCCAGTTGCCAAGCGTCCAAATTTTGATCACATTACCATGGAAATGCTGCAACGATCGTAAGTGTGAGAACTGGTCCTAAGTCCCTTTTTTTTAGTTCGTTGTATATTTGAACAATCATTAAATGAACTATTGTAAGTCGAGAACTCCCTGTAAATACCTTTGCTCTAATTTATACAATCAGAAAAAGAAATTGTTAGGGAATTGGAATGAAAGACATGCTGATATTGTCAAGGTTCCAAGCAGAGGTGGTATTCAGCAGGTCCTGACCAGTTCTGGAGAACCGGTAGCAGAAATTTTGAGTAGTTTGGAGAACTGGCAAATACCACCTCTGACTTGAGATTTTACAGTATCCTTCCCCTGCCGCGCCCACCAAGCCACGCCCACAGAACCAGTACTAAAGATTTTTGAAACCACTGGTTTCAAGTAACATACCCATAGCAAACAAAACCCTGGAGCACACAATTTCCTCAAAGAATAGGTTTATTGGATATGTCATATTGGCCCAGGCTGGTAAAAATGGACACTGAACATTCCCGCGGTTTTTACCTAATTAAAAGTAAAAGTTTATCACTTTCTCAAAACAATCAGTCACATGGTCCAATCAGGATACTGTCCAGTTGCTAGGTGACTCCAGTCCCCTCCTTCTGGGCACCTGCAGGAATGTCCTTGGTTCCCAAGAGAAAGCATTTTGTTTTGACTACAACACCTGAACTATCTCTATTCATCCCTCCCTGTCCCTCTTCTCCAGTGTGTCAGCGCTGAAGTCTCAAAATGGCCTCAGCCAGGCCAGCTTCAGGGTTGACAGATATATTAAGCCACTGGCCATTTGCCTCTCCCTTAAGTATCTGTTGAAGGAATTAATTTTGGAATATTTTCCTCTGTAGATCCTAACCCTTTTCAAACTCAATCATTCTATCGCAGCTTCACTGCCCCAACTCACCAGAATAGTTTATGGAAATAAAAAGCTTGGGCAAATAAACAGACAAAACCCCATATTGCTTGAGGAATTTTCTTTCCTACATTCCAGAGGTTTGGAAAGAATAACAAGGTATGGAAAAAGCATGCAGAACGTGGCTTGTGGGATCCTTTCCAAGCCATTTTCCAATAGCTGCATAGGTGGGACTTTCTCTTGATGGATGACCTGTCTGCTAAATCAGATGCCAGCAAGGGATTCCCTTGTGTCTACAGGTAGTCCTTGACTTAGGACAACGACTGAGCCCAAAATTTCTGTTGCTAAGCGGGACAGTAGTTAAGTGAGGTTCGTCCCATTTTACAAACTTTCTTGCCACAGTTCTTAGGCGAATCACTGTTAGTAACACGTTTGTTAAGTGAATTGTGTCATTTTTTTTAATCCATTGTAAGTTCGAACAGCCACTAAACGAATCATTGTAAATCGAGGTCTACCTGCATTTACCATCCTTCAACTATTGTATTGGATGCAGTATTCTAAGACCACACTTATAACATTGCATCCAGTTTCGGTCACCACAATATAAAAAAAATGTTGATCTTCTTGAAAGAGAAGAGAAGAGAAGAGAAGAGAAGAGAAGAGAAGAGAAGAGAAGAGCAACAAAGATGATTAAGGGACTGAAGGTCAAAACATATGAAGAACTGTTGGAAGAAATATCCTTTTGGGTTCAGTTCCAAGTGGGGAAAAAGACACTGGAAACATGGAGGCTGTTAGGAAAGATGGTTTAATGGTGGACAGGACCACATGGCTTGGAGCTCCAAAGTGAAAAGGACGATCACATGCTTCAAGGTGAAAAGAGAAGATCAAGAAAGGAGGCCAAGATGCTGAGAGACCCTTATATACCCTCTGTTGGGATTTGAATTTGA